TTGAAGACTTTACTACACTTTGCTGATACTATTTATATTTTTCCGACATTTTTTGACAAGCTATATTTAAACATGACATTTAAATATATTTCCTCTTTTTCACCATTGAGTTTCATTGAACATCATGCTCAAACTCTCGTAATATTTATTTTATTTTCATTTGCGGTTTCGCGCGTAATAGATAAGCAGTACTTAAGTTCAAACTTACTTACGTATTTCTCAAAACAAAACAATGTTGGAAGTAAAACAGAAGATACGGTAATACTGTGCGGAATATATTAAATTCGGATTCATTGAAAATCCCACAAACCCATCGTCACCTTTGTGCCTTCTATGTCTAAAAACATTTTCGAATGAAGCAATGAAGCTTTCAAGACTGCAAGATCAGTTGAATAAAATGCATCCAGAAAAGAAAGACAAGAATGTAGCATATTTTCAACACCTAGAGAAGAAGCATAATACTCAGCCAAGTGTAGCAAAACTCTTTTCGGCGGCTGCTAAGCAAGATGACGACGGACTTTGAGCTTCGTACAATATCTCTTTGTTAATTGCTCAAAAAGGCAAACCACACAACATCGGAGAAGAGTTTTTGAGAGAATTTTGCCAGCAATAAAGGAAGTAATAACTACTGTGCTTCATAAACCGGCCACAGATATTATCCGAAAAATTCCTTTGCGTAATAATTTTGTGCGAAGACGAATTGATGAATCTTTTATGGCACCCTGTCATAGGTGCCATAAAAGATTCATAGCGTACTTAAAAAATAAAATTCCAGATGTTTTTGCTGTACATTGCGTTATTCATAGACAAAATTTGGTTGCTAGAAATTTAATTGAACGACTATTTCAATCACCGCAATATGTCATCAAAGCAGTCAAAAAAATCCGTAACAGCTCTTTGAATGATAGATTATTTCATCAGCTTTGTGTTACGAATAACGAAGATTTAAACCGTTTGTTGTTTCATACTGAAGTTCGTTGGCTATCAAGAGGCAATTTGTCTAACTCGATTTTACAACTTGTTTGATTCTGTGATAGAGTTCTTGGAAACTAAAGATACAGAATTGCGCAACAAGCTCATTACATCAAAGAATGATATAGCTTACATGACAGACCTGTATAAATTGTTCAACGACATGAATCTCCAACTGCAAGGCGATGAACTCAATTTAATTAAAACAAAAAATGTCGTTGCTGCTTTCGCAGCCAAACTGCTTCTACACAAAAAGAATATGGGCAGATGTATTTCACAATTTTCCGAATTTATCAGTATCCTGCAATAACGACGTCTTGTTTGCCAGTGCCAATATTTGGAAAACCTCCACATTGACTTCACCGAACGATACCAGGAAATTTTAAATTTGGAAATACCAGACTGGGTGTTGGATCCGTTTTCAAATGTCAACACAGCAATATCACCTCAACTGGAAGAAGAACTTACAGAATTGACAACGAACGAGGAAATAAAAATCAAGTTCAAAAATGGCTGCCAAGAATTTTGGCTACAAAAACCGATCCCGCAATTGTACCCTGGATTGTGGTCAAACGTTCAACGATTCTAGATAGCATTCCCATCGTCATATTTGTGTGAACGTGGTTTTAGTGCTGTGACAACGCTGCTTAATAAAAAGAGAAATCGTTTGCATGTTACCAAACGTGGTGACTTGCTTCTGTTCTTGAGTAAATTAAAACCTGATATCAACAAACTTATTAAACAGCATCAGATTCATCTTTCA